CTTTCGAGACGATAATAAAAACGATATACAGACATAAATTTCTCATCAAAATGACCACGACAAGCTATAAAAGAAAGGAAAGGACTTTGAATCTTATATTATATACTCCAAACAAGCGAACAAATGATAATACATGTAGCATTCATCAGCATATGGAATGTCCACTATAGCTCACTTCTTGTAAAGAAAGAAGTGATAGGTGTTTATTTAACGGAGGTCGACGACGTCGTATTGAACCCTGGAGTTGAGGAAGACATGGGAACAGTGCTCGTAGATGGGGCTGCCGTCTTCAGCCTCTTCGTGAGGGTGGAAACCCCTTTGCTGGCAGTTTCGGATAACCTTAACACCGGCCGGATCCGACAGATGGAATATTCCATGAGGGGTGGACTCGTCGGTCGGGGCCATCACTATTGCTATTGCCTCCGGTAGCATTATCTGCAAAAATATACCATAGCAATGACAAGGACTGACTAGTAGATAGATAGATAGATAGATAGATGTCACGCAATTTCCACGGGTTTATACATCTTATCACACATATCAAACGGTATTTTTTTAGACCCGACTACTTGTCACGCAATTGCCCGTAAATGCAGCATTTGCCACTTATGGCAGTTGTGGACGATTGGAAAAATAATTGGTTCAACCACAATCGAGAAATCTAATTGCAACTTTTCACTTGCGTTTTGATAACGATTTATAGTGTTTTGTTAAAAAGATAAAAGTACTCTGGCTATTACGAAAATTTTATAATAACATCATATACTTTTTTTATAATTTATACTAAATCGCAATTGCAATAACTATCAACTTATCAATTTTGAATCGCTATCAACAATTTATCAAACATTCAACATTCATCTCCCACAATCGTCAACAAAAACACTGAAAACACGTACAATGACTATCGCAAATGCAACGATACAATCAGTCAAATTCCTACTCTCATTATTAAGAGACATATATTATCACAACAACAGATGCAAACCCCTGACCTTAGCAATCAAGTCCAATTTCTACTTAACTGAAGTGCCATGGCATGTGAATCAGAGCAAGACAATGGGCAAATCAGACATTCCATAAAAATGAAACGTACATACCAGAAGGGGAAAGTTTTGTACCTGATATGAGTAGTGTGTGTGGAGATCAACTGATGACATGAAGCAAGTTTGTGTCGGGTGCGTCTGAAAACTCCAAATAAATGTAACCGACATGTGACGAATGTGGAACAAACAACAATCAGTATATATATATATGCCAATATGATCCCACAAGAGTAGTCAAATTTATGAACCTGACTCATTAATTTTTCCACATATCTTTTCTGTATGTCTATAACAGATTACATAAGACCGACAACTATTTGCCAAAAGAACTAGAAACTGAAAACGGCAAAGGAAGGATGCAGACAGATAAGAGTAGATGACGTGGATCTGCTGATAAAAATCCTCAGTGAACTTACATGAATCCAACCCAAGGGAAAAAGGGACAACTTGTCCTGGACTTCAAATATTTCTTCTTCATTTAAAGTTTGGCACTGCACAGTGACAAATGAAAATCCAGAGTAAGTTGGAAGATAAATCCTACACGAGGGGAAAAAATCATACAAATGGAAATGGTCATATGCAGACTGAAAATTGTACCGAATCTGAGGTAGACTCCTGCTTTGGTATTATGAGAGTAGTGATATGAAAAACCCTGTTTTTCTACAATACAGAGATTTGGACATAAGTAACTTGCAAATGATCTCGGCAGATAATGAACCTGATTACAAAATAACAAGAACGGTAAGGTCTCATGTGCGCACCAGGGAGCCAGCAAGCACACCGCAAGTTTCCAAATTCCTTTCTGTGTTTCCCCGAGCCAGTCTTAAGAAATCTTCCATCAGATTTACCGGCTGCAATGCATCAGTAAATGGAGGGAAGAGGACATTTGAATTAAATTCATCAAGAAGGTGCATAAGAGATAATAAGATTGGCATGAAAAGAAAGCATTAGAACTCACAACATGCAAGTGTTGATAAGAATTGCTGCTGTCTTTTCCTTCCAGAGAAGGCATTGCGGGACCAGGTCTTGGGTCTGCAACCTTTGATGGACAAATCGATGCAACTTCATGATGTACCTGGGCAAGAACAGGAGGAGGGGAAGGTTGCTTTGTACTGACAAACTGAAACGGGTCTTCCATCACTTCGTTAACCATCTGGGAAGATACAGCTTCAGCATGACGTTGCCATCGACCGTCATCTAAGGAGAGCACAGAATCCATTGCTGATGAGACCCCTTGAGCATCAATCAAGCTGTAGAAGAAGCAGTGATTTCTATGAAGAAAATGATTAAAAAAAGAAACTTGCACTTGCTTTCTTATGTAAGCAAATATAATGCGAAAATGTCTGACTTGCTACCAACCAAAACAGATCATCCTTACCCAGAATTTTCGGCAGAATTCCAGTCGGTATTACTCGGATATTGAACCTGCAATGTCATGTCAAATAAGTAGTAGTTCCAAGCAAGTTGATCCCAAGAAAATCAGCATGAGGAAACAGGTGGGAGCAAATTACAGGGGTCAAGGAGTTACCTTTATCTCTGACTTGGGTGCAAGCCTCTGACCACTAAGACCATTTGGGCCCAGAAACGAATGTCTAGACAAGGTTTCTTTGTTTCGGGGAAGTAAATCAAAAGACCTACAAACTCGGGAGCAAAAAAATACATTGTCATCCAAAATTAGCCAGGATAAGCAAGTATTCCTCATAGAGCTGTAATTATTCAATCCTTGCATAGACATTTCATGACCTATAGATTAAGTAAAAAACACAGAATATCTTTAAGCTATAAAAGACCAGGGAACTAGTAGCATCCATAATCCCATCCATCAGAAACAAAATATGGATGGTAACAGCAACCTAAATAATCCAAGCATCTTTCACAACTTTACTCGCTCTTTCTTAGTTGGAACAAGGAATGACAGAAAAGCAAGGATGATTCCATACCCCTTATTTGTCAAGGTGTCCAAATAAATTCTAAAAATGAAAAATCAGTCCGGACGAGCATTGGAAAAAGATACTCACAGCCTCTGAAATTGTTGGTCAATGTGCATTCGATTGGAAGATGGACCAGGATTATTATTATTATTGTACCTCCATGGTAGTTGAGATGTCACAGAGGCTGGCTGCATCTAAAAGAAGTAGAAAGGCACGACAACATAGGTAAGCAGGTCGCTTTTGCACCAGAGAAAACAATCTTTGGACAAGAAAATACAAACACAGATTTGAAGTTTCCATCTTAAAAACATCGATTTGAAGAGGCAATAATAAAATAACTAAATGACCCTAGCTTCGTTTTTTAATATTGAGTTAATGGTATCAAGACCTTGTTATTGTCATGTCCAGAGTATTTACTCTTGCTGACAGGTGGCCATTCAATGGCATCTGGACTATATGATATATGGGGGACTTCGCTACCAAGCAGCTGGGATTCATTCTCAGCTTTGTTCCTCTCATCCATTTGACGGTCAAATTCTGGTTTCAAAAACTCGAGCTCATTAATTACAGCCCGCAATCTCTGTCATGAAAAAGATTGTCATATCAGGATATAGCCCTGTGTCCGAGGAACACCAAACAATGCAATAAAAAAAACTAACCTTCCTACTCCCAATCCTCTCATGCGGAAGCAACACCTGATAATCTCGATGATAAGGTATAGTTTCAGAAACCAAACTGCAAAAAGAACAAAGTTTATAGCTCTAGCATGCAAAATTTAATATACGATCAGGCAAAGCTTAGGCATAGAGTCACTTTCTCTCCTCACCTTGAATATCTGAGGAGCATGATATACAAATCTATGACATTCTTCTCATCACGATAGATGTTGGCCTGAGCAACGTTAAAACAAGATATACAGCTCAAACTTAGGTATGTTTTAAAAGAAGAAAAAAAAGGTTGTTTTTTAATCTTGTAAAAAATTTGGAACTACTAAAACTACAAAACAGGCGACAATTTGGAGTGCTTGTAGAAACTTCTCATGAGCATTCATCTGAAAAACTTATGCCCGATGTCTAACATCAAACATAATCGCTAGTCACCAACCGATGAACCCTTTTCACATGTCCAAAATTTCACACCTCAAAACTCACGAGAATTTCCAGATTGTTGCATTTAGATTCAGAAGCCTAAGATTCCGAAAAACAAGACCAGGAAACACCTGAAACCAATCAAACTCCAATTTACGACATTATACATCTAAACAATTCACATGTGAACAACATGAACATAACAATGGTGTGTCGCGGGAGTGATTCTCAATGATGGCTAATGGTAAATACACGTTCCAGATCTAATAGCCTAAATTTCCAGTCACCTGTAAACTACCAAAACCAAAACCAGCGTTACTTTCTCAACTGACTCTAATTTTCTGCACAAAATCCAGCCCTAGAAACTTCGAAGGCGACTGAGATTCTAAACCCGAAAGGAAAAAAAAAAGTAATCAGAATGAGATAGGGAACCTGTCGGAGGAGATTATCGGCGATGCGGTAGTAATTACGGAGAGGGATCCGACTATCAACCTCGACCTTGCGAGCAACCTTGTCTAAATCGATCTTCATTTCTCCGGTTGCCCAGAAACTTCTCAATCTCTTCGATTTCGATCACTTCTCCGGCGAAGGTTTGCTTTTGGCCCGATGGATCGATCAAAGGCGCTGCCGTGAAACGTAGGGAAGGAGCAACCAATTGAGCCTGAAATTTTTTTTTTTCCTTTTCGGCCTGTGCCAGGGGTACCAGACGAGAAGAGTCGCCACCAGGAGGGTATAATCGGGGCATTATAAAAAATGCGCTTTTAAAATGCTACCTGTACTTCATGGAATACCCTTGTCTTAGAAAAAAAAAATAACCCCTTCACATATACCCTCTCCATATATTGATATACACGATCTGTTCGGGTTTTGCAGGTTTGGTTGCGTGTGACGTTTGACTAGGTTTAGATCTTTCTTCCGCTGCATGAAACCTAGTAAACCAAACCCTAGATCGATATGATCGC